ATCAACGTCCAGACTTCTTACAGCCATAGTCGAAATTTGTTTGGAGGCAAAAAATTGGTCAGCGCTTAATGAACACATAATTTTATTATCAAAACGGCGCTCTCAACTTAAACAGGCTGTAACGAAGATGGTTCAAGAATGTTGTACTTATATAGACAAAATGCCTAATAAAGAAACCATGGTAAAACTAATAGAAACTCTTCGTTTGGTAACAGAAGGGAAGGTAAATATATTTTCAATTAATAGTATATACTATATGTCAAGAGGATTAAGCCCTCATATCAGGCTAGAGATTGAGATTGAATTGAAATGTAAACAATAAAAAGAAAGAAAACCCATTTCAAGTTTAATGAACTTTACTTTGATTGGTCAAATTCCAGCCTAATCTTAACCCTTAAAAACCACTCTAGGTGTGGCATACCAAGTTTTCTTTTTCCAATGCTTTTCCAATGCTTTTTTTCATTGCTTATAATTTTTTTATTAAAGTTTTTTAAAGTCTGACTTCTGACGGTTCGATTGAAAAAATAATTTTAATAAGTATGTTCATTTTTGTGAAAATTAGAAGCAATCGAGTTAGGTTGGCTATGCCATACCCAAGTGTGTCGTTTCCGTAGTGTGGCGTTTAAGGGTTGATCTCAATCTCAATTTCTGATCTGATACAAGCTTCAGAGCTAATGTTCTATTTTCCTATAAAAAAATTAAAATACTACATCTTATCGATGATTGTCGCTATCGTTAACTAGCAACAACCAATGGGAAGAAATCGCGGCACTCATTGGCTGTCGCTAGTTAACGATAGCGACAATTGTCGATAAAACGTTTAGAGAGTCCCACAACTGGTATATCTTCCGTTCAATTTTTTTTGCTTAGTACATAGTATCTGGATGTTTTGTAACAAACCTTGAGTTACCTTTAAAAACTAAAATTTGAAATATTCATGTACAATTTACATTGTTAAGATAACTGGCTTGCTCTGACGTATTTTTTATTGCCCAGCAAGGGCAAAATCATAAAATATTTACATTAAACAATACATTTTTTTGCAAAAGATATATGTAGAAGTAGAAAGAGCAAGGCTTACTCATCGTTTAGCCAAAATAAAAGAAGCAGAAGGAGACATTGCAGGTGCTGCAGCTGTAATGCTTGAATTACAGGTATTTATAGTTTATAACAATAATAGACACACTACTACAGTAAAACAATCCTAAAGATTACTAAATAGCATATCATATAGGTAGAAACATATGGCAGTATGTCACGTCGGGAGAAAGCTTCTCTTATCTTAGAACAAATGAGACTTTGTTTGGCAAAACAAGATTTCATGAGAACTCAAATCATAGCAAAGAAAATTAATGTTAAGTTCTTTAGTGATGAGAATGACGAAGAAACTCAGACATTGAAATTAAAATATTACGAGTATGTATGCCATATATTTTGTACCCATATTTATTATATAAAAGTTATAATGAATTACATTTTGTATTTAGTTTAATGATGGAATTGGCACGTCATGAAGGTTGGCATTTGGAATTATGTCGACATAACCGAGCAGTACTGGAAACTCCAACCATTCGTGACGATCCAGAGAAAAGACGTATTGCGCTTTCTCGAGCAGTCCTTTATCTAGTACTTGCACCACACGAGCCTGAGCAAGCTGATCTAACGCATAGATTACTCGCTGATAAACTTCTCGATGAGATTCCCACTTACAAGTAATGATTACAATTACTTAGAAATATTTAAAATATTTATTTCTCATTCTTCGAAAGTAACATGGACTACAACCATTCGCAGAGAATTATTACGCTTATTTGTTAATCCTGAGTTGATAAAATGGTCAGGATTATGCGAAATTTATGAAAAAGATCTCAGATTAACTGAAGTTTTTTCTTCTTCGACTGAAGAAGGATGCAAACGATGGACAGATTTGCGGAATCGTGTTGTAGAACACGTAAGTTTATATATCATTCAGAATATATTTAAGAGGATAATGAAAAATATATATCAAGTTATACCATATAAAATTGTCAGTCAATTGGAAATCGTGATCCATCAGTAAATCGAAATAAAGTATTCTTCAGGTAGGTTAGAATTTATATAACACTATTGTTCTCTTCAAATTTCGTTGATTATTCTATGCAGTTTAGTCAAATAGAAACGTTAATTGTTAAGTCTTTAGAAAAAAGTAAAACTATTAGCAAAAGGACTATTCAGTAATGGTTTGAAAAATTTTATTCTAAATTTAAAAAATGAGCGTCGAGGTATAGACTTAAAATTTAATATTACTCATTTTAATTGAATAAAATTTTTTTCTAAAAATACATCATCTTTATTTTGATTTCTATAAACGGCAATTTTATATGGTACAACTTGATATTATACAGGATGATTTCATTAAATTCTTTTTGTTTATATTGTGAATTTTTTGCTTATTTTGAGTTAATTTTTTCTTTAACAATGTAAATTGTCGCTATTTTCAAAAATTATAACATAAAGTAAAATTTATTCAAAATTAATTGAAAAATATAATTTTAACTATTTTCTTCTATAATTTAGTTGTAAAAAATTTCCATTTTAATTCAAAGCTTACAATTTAAAGGTATTTTCTTTGATATTTTAAATTTAAAAAAAAATTTGAATTCACAAAGTCGTCAAGAAATCTACAACATGTTTATTCACAATACGCATATATATTTGGAATATTTTTTTTAAATAGAATTAATTATTTTTTTTATTCATCTTATTCTTTTTTAAAATATTTCTATTTTTTCCTGAGAATATTCTGCATTTTTAAAAAGTCAGGATAAAATGATTTGCAAAAGAGATGTTTTATACTTTATTTTGACAGATTTGTATATAAAATATGAAATAGTAGAATATTTATTTGTTAATAATCTTGCTTTAATAGTTTTATATGTGCAGATGTGTATAGAAAAAGAAACATTTTTATCTGTTTTTAGAATATAAGAATCATGGCCAAATATTACACTAAGATTACACTAACTCGCATGGCTGAATTATTAGATCTTCCGACTGAAGAAACAGAAGCGTGTCTCTGTAATTTAGTAGAAACTGGAGTAATTAATGCGCGTACAGATCGTCCAGCTGGTGTAGTCCGTTTTACTGGCACACAAGAACCAGCTGCTCTTTTAGATACATGGGCTGCATCATTATCGAAATTGATGGGCCTTGTGAATCATACTACACATTTAATTCATCAAGAAGAAATGTTGGCCGTTGCGCAATCTTAGAACGCATACACGCATGCGCGCGCATACACCACACATCATGTTTGTATGCATCGTGTCTCTCTTATGTTATACATTTCAATTTTATTTCCATTTAAGAATAGAGTATCGTTATTAGCATTATTAACAAAATATAACCAGAGTAATATGATTTTGGATTATAAAAATGCTGTTTATATTTTTGTGTATTTGTTGTGTATAATTCACACAACTACTATATCTATAAACACGATATTGAAAATATAATTCCTTTAACATGGAAATTCTTTATATATGAAGATAAAATTGTATTATTGTACAAATAATTTTGTCATTTATTTTAATGTACCATAATAAAAATAAAAAATTTACACGTGTACACAGAATAGCTTATTATATCCAATATATCCTGGACAATATAAGTGAAACCTGTAATCAATTTTTTGTTATAATGCATCATAAGTTATAGTGTTTTCCCTTGGCTGCACTAGTGCAACTCAGTGGGTGTCTTCCAACAAGCGACTCGGTACAACACAGTGATCATCTCATTCTTGTTTAACATTGGTGAACAATAAGGATGTAACGTAATGATGCATCGTGTCACATCGTCTCATGTGTTTTTCTTGTTGGAAGGCATCCAGTGTAGCGTGCTTCTTTTTTCTTCTTAATTGGCCGATGGATTTCTGATTCCTGAGTTAGAATTCGAGTCCTTATACCAGAGTCTGGCCATTTACCGTATTCGCGCCTATCCAGATAACAAAATGCCCTGACACTAGTTTAATATTTATTATAAACGTTTGTTGCTTTATTTATAATTTTATGTTTACCATTTTACTTTCAAATATTAAACGTTTTTAACAAAATAGGCCCTTCTATTTTACCATTGTGATTAAATAGTTTTCCTTTTGAAAAAAATTACGAAAAATTATTTCTTTTTCGGTCTCTTAAGGTAGGAGACCCCCTCTTAACACGGATTGACACCTAGGCCGGAATCCATAGTCCGGTCTTAGGGCGGAATCCATAGACGTTGCTCAAGATTCGAGATGGTCTTAAGCTAGAGCATGAATCAATCAGATGCCGGTATTCATAGGCTGCGTTCAGCAGAACGTTCGTTTTGCAACTGTTGGAAGTTTCCTTCGCGCTGATTGGATCATACTTTTAGATCTAGAAGAATGGTCCTATCTCAGCAGACAATCATAAAACGGTTGCAAAACTGTTGAGTCTGCTGAACGCAGCCATAGTCAGTTCTTATATTCAAGATCGTCTTAAGTTCAGCCTTGAGGTGTAATGAACCAATCAGAGAGCCGCGTTAGCGTATTAAGACATTACTTAAGATGGTTTTGAAATAAGAACCGACTATGAATACCGGCCAGAGAGCTTAATATCTATCTAATCTTAATATCTATTCCTGTTCCTAATATTTCCTCCATTGTGCGCAGGGCCTAATACGGCTCTCTGATTGGTTCATGCACTAGCTTAAGACCATCTCGAATCTTGAGCAACGTCTATGGATTCCGCCTCTATGCACATTAATTTTCGACACCACGATTTAGTATGGACTCGCACCACATCTATTTTCGACACCGCGATTTTATCGCCATTACGTAGCTACGTAGTACTCAGTTTGAAAATAGATGTACTGGCGCTAGTGTACGGAGGAAGTTCGACGAAAAATACCGAGATGGCCTCTCTCAGGCTTCTCTCTGCTTCGTACTATTAACTATGATCGATCTCGAGCGTCATGGTATGCTCCACCGATCGCAGAACGCGGCTTATACTCTACGGTTACAACGACGGTGCTCGGGCGGAGTCGGGCGCGCCTTCGATGACGGCGACGTCATGGCGCAAGATGGCCGTCGGTGTCGGGAATGGTGTATTGTAGACGAGACTGGGCGGAATTCCGGGTAATAGGTGTGTCGGTGTTTGACATTACGTGCAAAACAATACTCCATTAGAATGATGCCTTGCCGCGTTGTTGTCGTCGCTGTTGCGAGCTGAACTCAGAATTTTGGCTCTGTGCAGCGCAGTGCTTGTCGTGTAAGAATTGTATGTATAAATCGGCTCCATGTATCTCGTCCAGTCTTTCCCTCTCTTTCTTTTATTATCTCACCTCTCTTTCTCTCTCTCTCTCTCTCTCTCTCTCTTTCTCTCTCTCTCTCTCTTCGACGTCGGTGATAAGCAAGTAAACGTTGTGAAAATGTATAGATCACCGATTTCCCTTCTGCGAATTTTTGTTACTGCATATTTACGCGAGGAAGACGATCTCCGCGAAAGCTTCTGCTTATAGCGCTTCAGAATCGAAAAGGAAGTATCGGCGAGTATCGAAGCGTAAATCGACATGTGCTGAGAAATTCGAGAGTCTAAGAATGAGGTGTCGCCGGTTTTCTTCGAGGTTATAACAATGCTCTGCGGGCGTTAGGTTCCTAGTGGACAGGCACAGATCATTCAAAAATGCAGTCGAAAATGTAATGGCACTAAACTAGAGAAAGAAGCAAGACAAAATACCTAGGGTAGAAGACTACTTCTGTCTCTCTCTCTCTCCTAAGTGTTTTACAGAATTGGCTGAGAATGCAGTAGTATTACCGCTAGTATCATTATTATTATTACTGCTACTAGTATCGACGTGTTTCTTCAAACTGGTTGCTTCTTCAAAATTGTTCTGAAATCGCAAGTCAAGTTAGAAGAAGAATAAAAAAGTGATAGTTATGTATTAAAAAAAAAGAATAAATACCTATTTTGAAAAAAAGAAGAAATTTAGAGATAGGGAATTTAGGAGATGGAAAAAAGCGTTACTATTCTGTGTTCAGAAACAGTCGGGTATTTGTTTTGAAATTGGAAATTTTGAGATTACGAAAACGATATAGATTCCGCACCTAAGCGTTTTCGAGATGACGAAAAATTTCTATAAACACAAGTCAAATTGTGTGCGAAGTGGCACCTTGATATTTCATCTATAAGAAGAACACAGATACAAAAAAATTGTCAGTGGTAATGAATTCTTTCTGAGATACAATAAAGAACACACTCTCTGTGATAATTCGTGGTTAGGGTGTTGTAAATCAATTTATCATGACGTATGCAAACTGTTTAATCAGAATTGATCTGTGATCGATTAATTTCATCGAATGGAGCACGATATTGAATCCGATGAAAAAATATTATCAAGTAATCTGAGAAATTATATAAAGAATGATGTATTTTTAACTAAATTGCAAAATTCTAAGCGATTAAACATCCAATAAAGAGGAAGGAGCCGACAAAGTAAACAATGGTTTTCGAATTTGACTGATAGCGCGCGCAAATTTCTCTCGCTCTTTTTTTTCTTTTTTTTGATATAACTAAAAATTGCGAAATTGAGCATATACATGTCAAGAGCGCATGTACAGTGTACGCGGCAGGAGGAGACTTACGCGCGACGGCCGACGTACGGAATCTCCGTCACTTGTGCGATCGGCGAAGCGAATGCGCCGCGTGATCGGGAAATGTCGGCTTCGAAGTCGTGACAGTAGACGAGTAGTTTCGATCGAAGCGGGAGCGATCGCGTGGAAGTCTTCGTTGAGGGAGAAATAGAGACGCACGTTTTTACGGCTTCATGCTCGCAAAGCAGGGACATTTGATTTATATATATATATATATATATAAAACTATTTATATATACATATAACGGCCGATTTAATTTGAAAAACAATATTTCATTGATGAGCAAAAATACTGAAAAGTATTGATTGTAAGTTAATTGCGGACTCGTCAGAGAGTAAATTTTGCAAAGCAGTAAAAGCCATGAATTGGCCAGTTGCCGACAACAAGCTCAAGTTTCGTGGAATCAGCATTTGTTTTATTCACATGCGTAAAAAGTACTTTCTCGTAAAAATTGAGGTGGACTCATCACGCGATAGAAACATTAACACGAAGCTGTGCTCACACTAATCTGTACATGTTTGGAACGAGAAATAGAATGGGCAATTATTGATTAAGGTAGGGCAAAAGAAGATCGGTAATAAGAAAAGGTGCGAAGAATGTCCCAGTAGGTAAAGATGCTAATATGGTTATATGATGGTTTATGACTTCTTAAGAGCCAGAGCATGTACCTTTGCGTAACGCATAAACGCATGAGAAAATCAACTCCAATCGGAGTCTTTGATTTTATGGAAATGAAGGCCTTTGATTGGTTCATTTTCTTATACGTTATGCGTTATGTAAAACTCTGTGCTCTTGTTCTAAGACTGTACTTAAGACAGTCTTAAATATAAGAACCGATTATAAATGTCAATCTAGAACGTGAGAAATGGACAAGAGAAAAGAGAGATAGAAAGAGATAGAAGGAAGAGAGAAAATGAGATAGAAGAAATAATTGAAGTGAAATAAAATGAGATAAGCAAGATAATGAGATAAGGCAGGGAAAAGAAAAGCGCCTATTTTTGTTTTTTCTTTTGTTTTATGCGTTTATACGTAGTACGCGCACGCGTACGTACGAGAGTATAGGTATGGTTGTGCAAGTGTAGATTACATGTGATACGAGCGCGCTCGCGCACTCATATACTACGTGTATACATCATTTTACATGCGCTTGTGTCACGCGCTCGAATGTTGCGCGTGGTCATTAGAGGCGCATGTAATTCGCCGGTAATTATCCCACAGATCCATTGCTTCCGGGGTGAATAACAAAATAATACAATAATCCCGACGAGCACAGAGAACTATCGCGACGTGACGACGATAGTAATATACCTACAACGTGCAAAATGTGGAATATGATGTGTGATGTGATGCCGACGATTGCGGAGGACAGCATGAGCCAGCGGAGCTCGCAATTCTCCGGCGAGGATGGGAATATCGAGCAATTGATGGTGCAAATGCTAGACGAGCGTGACAAAATGATGGAATCGATGCGCGAGCACCAAGAACGCCTGCAGGAAATGGAGGCGCGATTGACAGAGGTCGAGAAGGAACGGGATGCCTTGAATCGCCAGCTTAACGCAAATATTCCCCAGGTAAGTCAATAAGTCTGTTTGCATTGTTTACACTTTTCGCATTCAGTATCTTCGCTTTCTCTCTTTTCGACGCTCGAACATTCATCTCGTTTCAAGAGCAAAAATTTTTCAAGATTTTAAACAGCACGAACATATACCTAATTCTGTATTTATTTATGCTTGATTGCGTGCAATGATTTAACGTGTTTATAAAAACAATAGCAGCCTTATGCCCGTATCAGACTATGGATTAACGATTACGATTAACGGTTGCCCGGTTCTACTTCAACCAATCACGATGTAGCGAGTCCATCGTAATTGGCTGAAATAGAATCGGGTAATTATCAATCGTCAACCCAACCAATGATAGTCTGATACTCCCCTTATCATGATTCTATCTTGAACAGAGAGTAAACGTTTACAGAAAATGTAAATAATTGGTTTAAAAAAGGATGAAGGATTAGGTGTAGAAAAATGAAGATGTTTTAATATATGTATATTTTCTTACATTCCACTGCGAATTTTAAAATCTTTTTTATTGATGATGATAAAACGTTAAAGATTTTAAGATGTTAAGTTTATAGTTTAATTATTTAGAACAAGATTGATTTTTTGTATGGAAAGAGCAATGAGAGGGTGAGAGAGAGAGAGAGAGAGAGAGAGAGAGAGAGAGAGAGAGAGAGAGAGAGAAATTTCGGACGAATAATTTCGTAATGATATATGATGACACGACATTGAATTTGTGTTTCTTCTTTAGACAAAATTTTTTCGTGAAGACTTTTTAATTATGTTTAATTATGATCATAGATCTTCGCAATCGCTAAAACGTTTACGTAACAAACGTACCGCAGAAGCTGATTTAATGCGAACTATATTCGTACACATATTATCTTTGTAGTTGCTCCACTTTGCGCGAGATATGCATGTTGCTAACGTCGTAATTAACTCCTTGTTTAGTATATTTTACTTTACCGCTGAAGTATAGGGTGTTCAGTGTACGGATCCGCACGATTTTTGGGATGCTTCTGAGACAACAAAAAACCGTATAGTAGATATTTACTCGTTTCATGCAAACTATAACTTAAATTTAAAAATCGATATTTACTTGTTTCATACAAGCTATAAGTGTGTTAAATTTAAAAAATTGAAACACCTTTTTAAATAAAAATACATGAAATGTAAAGGCTCGATTGTACAATCAAATGAGTAAAAATAAAGCTTATATGATCCGATACAGGTTTTTCGTGTGTAAAATTAATATTTATTAATAGAATTTTAGACGTTTTTTCAACTACATTTGTTGGTCATCCTCAGTAGTGAACTGATGCATTAATAAATTAATATGTAAACAATACTATTACAATAAGTTGCTTGATAAAATTATAATTAGATGTGTATTCAAATTGTGTATTCAAGATGTGTATTCAAATTTTAATTCTTCAAGCGTTTCATAATATTTGTTTGAATACTGTGTACGTGAGCCAATCGATAAAATGATGCTATTACTGTAATAATAAAAATCCTCATGAGAGAGAACATATATAAATCTTAATTATAATTAAATGAAAACTTACATAGCGGCTGTACAAATTTTAGTAGGCGAATAAAGCGTAACATTATGAAAATCCGTTAACCATCAGTATACGAGAATATTTGAGAGAATAATAATACGTGTAAGTGCATATACAGAAATAATAAATTAACAGAAAAACAGGCGAGAGAATTAAGACTTTGTAAAAAGGTCACGATATAATTTTTTAACACTAGAAGGACTGGATTTGACGATCCCCCTAAAAGAATCGTAAGAGCCAATTTGGCTCCAAGCATATTTTCTTCGTAAACAACAAATGGAAAGAAATGAAACGTACAGATAATTATAATGAACGTTTTAACAATAGTATCACTAATTTTATTAATTTATTTTATAAAAAGCAGTTATCATATTATAAAAAAAAGTTATATTAGTTTGAGAAGTATTAGTTCGCGAGGAGCCAAATTGGCTACCTCGGTTCTTCTAATGTTAAATACATTAATTAAAATATATATATTATTTTGAATCTTTTTAAATAGCACAAGTGCAATTTTTTTCATAACACTAAGGATCTTTAATAACGTTTCCCACTGGAGAAACACTTGTGCACACTGAGAACAATAAAATATACTGTTCCACTGTTAAAACCAGTTCATGTATTTTCAGTGTTTAATGTTATACTGACAAAACTGGTGCAAAAAAGTTGCACTGAGTTCAATTTTTTCTCCACTGTCTTTAAAGACGTAAGTTGAAATTAATTGAAATTGAGGTTGTGTTTGTGCTTTATATATAAGGTACCTATGATATTACGTTAAGGTATAATATTATTCTAATTATCTTCATAACAATAATATTATTTCTAGTTTCAGTAGTAATATCTACACTCTCAGAAAGGATTTCTAATATTGAGAAAAAAAATATTCTTGACGTACTTAATCTTAGCTCAACTGTATACAATATAAAATTATAATTCTATTAAAAATAAAATCAATAATTTTTATTCTACTCCCTCTAATAAAATAAAATCGACATCTTGTCTTGAGACGAGTATAACACATATAAATTTAGGTTTATATATTCTTACATATTCTTACGTTTAGAATAAGTCTATCTAATGTTATATACGTGATGCTACAGCATCATGACAGCGAAGCTCTCGTGATGTAGCGCTAGGTGAGAGACACGCGGAACGAGAGATCCTGAGTTCGAGTCCTGGCCGAGCCCAGTTTTTTGTAGAAAATTAATGAAATAGCATGAAGAATATTTTATTATAGATTTTAGAATTTTTCATTTAAGAAGAAAATATTCTTTTCTGAAAAATAAATACGATTGACTCTATATCGATCTTATTTTATTCTAGATCGAGGAGTAATAGCATTGAATATAGAAATCTTTTCTGTGAGTGTATGCAACAATCTAAATATTTTGATGTTTAAAATTTTTGAAATTCAAGAAAAATTAATAAAAAAATTTTGGTAAGAAATAAATAATAAAAATCAGAATATTATTATAAAATAAATAATTCAGTAATGTGTTTCACTGAACCACACTAAACCTGCACTATTAGTACTATTACTGGTGCAGTTTTCATCGAAACTAGCACGGTGCTGATGCTGCACTAGTTTTCTCAATGGAAAACGCTGTAAGACGAATTCAACATATATAAGGAATGTCACTTTATAAATGTTTTATTAATTTTATTGATACACGTAAACATAGTCATAAATATTCATTAATAAAGAAAAATTGTAAATCTCTTATCTAACGATATGCAAATATTCAAATGTTTGCCTCCTTCTGCAACACAAAGTTCTGCTCTTTTCAATTAACTTGTTATGCACGTGTGAACATTCAATTACAACTTAACTATGACAAAACGCTTTATATTTAATATTTCTACATTAAAATAGAACTAAAATAATTTATATTTATTTTTCTAACAACATTTTATTATTTGATCATACAAAATAACTTTCAAATATAATATATATAATTTTTACTAAGAACATATCTACACAGAAAAAAAGGTTTCTTTAGATTCAGTATTCCTATTTATTTGACTGAAATTTGTTTCATTAAAACAACATATGCTTGTACGAAATATTATTTGTTTCAATAAAAAAGGTGCAGGATTATATCCCGCAAAACCTAGATATTTTAAAATTTTAACGATTATTCAAGTTAGGGAATCTGTCACAGCCACGCATTACCGCGATGTGACAAGCACTGCAATCACATTTTCATGCTCTATGATCAACACTTCGAACAAATTTTCTTTGCTTTAAAACACAAATTCTCTGCTTTAGAACATAGATTTTCTGCTTTTTCGAACTTCTAGATGCTGTATGATGCCACAATACACAACTGCTCCAAAAATTTGAGTGAAACAGTCACTCCTAGTTTAACTCGCAGTTAATGGTCGTTAACTTAAAATAGAATGATAAGTCTATTTTATGGAGTGACTATCGCAAATGTGTGTGTGTGATTGTCATTTCAAAATATTAGTGGCAAAACCACTCTGTTAGATTTAGAAAATAGGTATTGCATGAAGCTGTATCACAAAACCATTTCAAAAAATTGAGTGAAACATTCACCCTAGCTTAACTCGCAATTAGGGTGATCGCATCAACTACAATTAAGGTGATAATTCTCTCTTATGGAGTGATTATCGCAAATTTCGACTGTTACTCTAAAATATTAGTGGCAAAACCACTCTATGAGGTTTAGAGATTAAACTACCGCAGTAATATCATGAGTTGACTAGCAATTTAATAATTTGATGCTTTTTCGCATCTTAGAACGATCTTAATAATGTTGATTGACATATTAAAATCTGTAAATATAATTAATTCTTATTGCGAAAAATATTATTTTGACCTGGAGTCAAACCCAAATTTCTTGCATTCCGTGTGAGCGTCCTAAGCTTTTAGACCACCTTTGTCTCGGTAGTAGTGAAATGTCTTGAAATATTAATAATAATGTTAATTATGCAGTATAAGGAACCATTCTCCGATGATCTGGACCTTGACATATGTTGTGAAGGTTATCACCCTGAGTAATCTTCAACAGATTTTAGCCATCGCTTGTTATTCATTAAAAAGTTAGTAACAGAAGAAGTTTGAAAAAAATAACGCCTTATTTCTGATATATGCAATATTAAAAATTATTCTGTACGCTTTCTTGCTTACGTAATGGCTTTCCTTGCGAAGGGAAGTCCATCCCACCATACCTCCTGCCTAGGGGCGTATGACTTTTCACAAGAAGCGAGTTTCACCTCATCTTTTCCTTGCTAAGGAACATCCGACTTTCCACGCGAAGCGAGTTTTACTTCACCTCCCCCCTGCCAAGGGGCGACCGGTTTTTTACGCGAAACGAGTTTCATCCCATCTCCCCCCTTCCCAAGGAGCGTCCGAATTTTCACGCAAAACGAGTTTCACCCTACCTACTTACCTACCCCTTGCCAAGGGACATCCGACTTTCCACGCGAAGCAAGATCCACCTCACCTTCCCCTTGCCTCAAGCAAGGAAGGGTATAGAATAATTTTTAGTATTATATATGGCAGAAATAAGATGTTATTTTTTCAAACTTTTTTTATTAATAACTTTTTAATGAACAATGAGCGACGGTTGAAACCTGTTGAAGGTCACTCAAGGTGATGATCTTGACAACATTAAGATCAAGATCATTGGAGGGTGGTCCCTTATATTGCATAATTATCTTACTCTTTTTTTGCAAAATAATTCTTTAATATTAACGTGCACTGTTTTATTACAGGAATTTTCTCAGTTGACAAAAGAACTGGCAGCGGCGCGAGAGAACATCTTGGAAAGAGAAGAGGAAATTTCCGAATTAAAAGCGGAGCGAAACAACACACGTGTGCGTAGCTGATTTTGATACCATTCTAACAACTTTATGATTTTATCAAATTTTCTAGGCTTTTTAATAATTTTTCTTTAATAAGTAAATGTGCATTTAACGTATAATGAAAGTAAAAGTAACAATAAATAAAAAATTGTAGATTTAATGACGAAACAAATGGCTCTATATGGTTAACGTAACATACTTCATTATCGATATTTCTAGCTCTTACTGGAACATCTAGAGTGTTTAGTATCGCGACATGAACGGTCACTTAGGATGACAGTTGTGAAACGTCAAGCCGCTGCGCAATCTGGTGTATCGTCTGAGGTGGAAGTCCTCAAAGCTTTGAAAAGCCTTTTCGAGCACCACAAGGCTTTGGACGAAAAGGTATTTTATGCTACTTTATTAAATGCCATTATATTGCCATTTTTTAACAGAGCAAAGTTTAATTTATAAAAGTTTCTTTTATGAGAAAAACTATACACACTATGAAAGAGGAAACTCAAATCAATTTTTATTTGAATTGAGTCTAATCTTTCGGTTGCAGTATGTGAAAAAGACTTGTATAATTATCGACAAACAAAAGAGATTTATTACTTGTAAATTATACCGCAATTATGACGTATTTGATTTATTTTACTTTATTATTTCTGTGATGCACGACAGCGACAATAAACGCTTGCATGAATGATCACTTGATACTAATATATTACGCTTTTAAGTAGGACTCGTCAAATAAGGATCAACGCATGCATATATTATGATTACGTATTACTTAAGAAGGAAAGTGTAGTTATAAAATAAGCAAAAAAAAGTAAGGTAAAATTACCTATTTTTATGTTTCTTCTTCTCATCATTAGCTCGACACATTTGAATCTACTTTTATTTTCTTAAATAAATAACTACATGTTGATCAATACAGTTTTCCTAAATAATTCTTTCTGAATTTTGATTATAGTTTGAAGAAGTAAATTTTGTTCCATTTCTTATTTTTCGCAACTTTTTTATAAAATTTTATTTTTTTTTTTAATATCAAGCCTTAGGCTGCTATTTATAATCGGATTCTATATTTAAGACCGTTTTAAATATTGTCTTAAGATGTCATTCATAGTATTTCAATATTGAAAGTATTATAATACTTTAATTCATAGTATTTCAGTATTGAAATACTATGAATTTTAATAATAATTAATGAAGAGTGATGAAAAATAATGAAAACTAATGTGCATATATATTTAATATTCATATTAATTTATTCAGAGATATTGAATACTGAATTATACTGAAGTATCATGAATCCTAAAGATAATTATAATTATCTTTAATAATAATATTTATTGAAAATGTATAAAAAAAATGGAAAGTAATGCAAGACATATAATACTTTTACAATTTATTGTACACTGAAATATTATAAATTCTAAGGAAAATTAATGAAAATATCTGAAATATAATGAAATGGAAACGAAATATACAATATTTTTAAAGATTTATTAATGAAAATTAATGAAAAAACAACAGGATAATTAAAATGTTGCAATTAATAGTTGTAAGAATGTAATGAAATCTACTAAAAAATAACAAAATCAATTAACGACAAACGTTGAATTCAAAAGAATTGTGAAGAAAAATATAGTTTATATTCAAAGCAATTGAACATTGAATAAAGCACTGCATTATCATGAATCCTAAAGAAATGGAGAATAATGCAAGACAAATAATATTTTTACAGTTTATTGTACACTGAAATATGCTGAATTCTCAGGAAAATTAATGAAAATATTTGAAAAGTAATGGGAACGAAATATATAATATTTTTGTAGATTTATTAATGAAAGTTATCGAAAACGGAAACAAGATAATTAAAATCTCGGAATTAATAGTTGAAAGATTGCAATGCCGCTAGATGGTATTCTCACGTTTAAAATTTAAGATATTTGGGGGGAAGATGCCACACTTAAGCTTTTATTCTTGAATAACTTCTTAATGTTATTGAGTTAAGTTACGAAAAAATATTATTTATATTCTAGAGACCTTCCTTTATTTACACAAATTTATAAATTTAACGTTTAATATTCCGTATTATTGGAAAAAGTTGATATATCATACCTTGCAAAAGTGGCATCTTCCCCCTATATATGTATATGGATAAGATGCCACCTCCTATGGGAGAAGATGTTATAAACAATTAAATAATGCGATGCAATATAAACTTGCATATTTTATTTATTTATAGTCCACAATCAAGAGTTTAAGTTATAAAAACATATAAAGGTATGATAAAACATAAATTGAGGAAATGTAAAAGAGAGTAATTTAGGAAGTAAGTTGGACATATTTTTATCGCCAAGTGTAATATTCAATTGCAGCTTTTACGCATATAAGAATATTACAAATTATAATCTATATCATCCACATGACCGCAAGGATTAAAACCGTATATCATTTGTCCGGTTTTACAGTAAGCATCGAAATACAGACCTTAACTATTAGCATACCAAATATTACAAAGAGCATGTTTCATGACCTACCTTTTCGTATTTCATATAATTTTTTCCAATCGACATTGGCATGAACATGTTCATCTAAGCCGATAATTGCGCAACTGTTTGCCATACGCTTTTGCACAGTCAGTATGGTCAACGCGCGTTCTATAAAAAAACTAAATAAAAAATGGCGTCTTCCCTCTTGTGGCATCTTCCCTCGAATTACCTTAGTCGTGCTCTCTATCATTGACGAGATATATACTATTAAAGACCATTAACCCTGAGCAAATTTTTGTCCTCACAAAAAAAGCCTCGAAAGAGCTCGGTAATTGAAGTACACTAACATTATCAATAATTGATATAAATTTGCAATCATTAATATAAATATTTAGCTAGTATATTATTAAATTTATGATTTTTTATTATGTAAATGCCCTATAAATAAGTACGTATACTTGTAGTGCTATAATATCTTATATATATTGTCACAAAATTACAATTTTTCCTCTATAATTATCATTTCTATGGATAATTAAACCCGAACGATAACATTAAATCACAGTTTTTAATAAAAATCGAGTATTTAGTTTTATATATATATCCACGAAATTAATATATATATATATCTCATACACTGTTAGAAATGTGATTACAAGCTTCCTTTAAGTGTAAATGTTTAGTGAGCAGCTTTAACAGAGATGCGAACTCCCGTAAGACTGTCGATCTTTAATAGTATTTTGTCGGTGTCTGTATATAATCAGGTCTATAAAGCCGAAGCTCAGATTATCTGCAGACATGTCAAATTTACATTTGTACATGGTTTTCGCATGTATTTTAGTACATACATTGTATTTTTGTACCAACGCAGAGCTAAATATGATAATACTTTGTACTGAATTTTTTATAAAACATTAACGAATTGTAGTGAAGTCATAATGAACTGTAATGAAATCCTAATGAAATTTTAATGAATTGTAAAATTTTAATGAATTGTAAAACCTCAATGAAATAACACTGAAAGTAGATCAATTGATATAGATTTTAATATGAAATTCAGTACGAACTAGAAATTAAATGCCTATAACGGTCAAAGCTGGATCTTTAATACTTAAATAATTCAATATAAATTATATATACCTATACCGTTGCGCCGTGCGATAGAGTTTCCTCTGAATCGAGTGCCGGGCCGTCTGTCATGGATTAAGACAGAAGAGGATTTTCCCCCTGACGATTTCATGTTTTATGTTCTGTCGTTCTGTTCTGAGACATCTGTCAATAAGAACTCGTTCTCATTCTCTAAGCTGTGTAATAATTATTGCCGCGAGTGAGCCTCGTACGAGAATAGTCCGCGAGAGTTTCGCGAGTGCGCTTTTCTTTGCGCGAGTGCAACAATACTATATATGTACTGTCACGCCTTTTCCTGTGTTGATTGAAGTGCGCGCGGGAGCGCACTCAGGAAACGGCGGATCAATCGGGACGAAGGGAAGGTGGAAGCCTTCGCACGGGAAAATACACCTTACGCGGTCGAGCAAGAATCGTGAGTCGCGACAAAGTTGGACGCCAGACGCTCCAAGACGACGTCAGTTTCACGAACGCGAACGCGAACCATGCTAGAGCCACGAAATCTCAAGAGCACCAAATATCGCGAAAATCGAGAGCAAACTCTCGCTCACGTGAGGGCTGGCTAGCTCTACCTAACGGCAGAGGGGTAGAGTGTTCGCGTAAGGGCCAGTCTGCATGAACGGGATATTCAAGGATAAGGGGCGAGTAACACAATCGTCACCAATATGTAAAGTATAAGCACTTTTACTAAATCGAGGCAAAAGAAAATACAAGAAAACAAAGAAATAAAGAAGGAAAAGCCATCGATAGACGGAAAAAAATATTAATAAAGAAGAGTAATAATAGTTGCGCTGTAGAATCAATTAAGACGCGAAACCGGAGAGTCACGATAGTTATGGAGAGAATGATAGTTTAGCGAACAGGCTGAACAAGCAAATTCGATATCGTGATCTTGCGAGTCTTCATGCACACTCATTCACACCGCTGAATCGAACATTTCGCGAGACTCGACAGAAAATTTCTAAGCGTAAGGCTTCTTCTCGGACTGCGCACGCACACGCCAGGAAATACGCACGATATCGCAATCGGTGAACCTCGTGTAGAGGACGCAAAGACACTACTAACAATTCGAAGATTCTCACACGCAAACGCGACACGCTAGTTTAATACGTCGAGGACAAACACACAACAACGATATTACATACCAATATAACATACGTTTCACGCACCAAAGCACACACAAACCGATAGCACGCACGCGGAAAGTAATCGCGACACGCCGAACTCACGCTCGAAATACCCAACGCGATAACTCTTCCAACTCGTCAAGGCCGCGATCTCTAGGAGGCTCGTTTCCGTGACCTGACTCTGTCCCCGATAGCCCCGTGCACGCGTGCTTGGGAGCCTCTCACGCTTGGCGCCGGCCACGCTGTATCCTTTACACAAAAAGTGCGCCGCTTATGACGGACGCTGCACCAACACTAAATTCGCGTGCCGACGATAGAACGCGAGAGTGAGTTTAATGGGATTTACATGAATATAAGCGTAGAACGCAAAAGTACAATGAAGAATTTGTGGAATAATTAGACGAAAAGGCAGAGGTCAAAAAATCTCTCTTGACAAAAATTTGAGGAGGCTAAGAGACAGCGTTTGAGCCGGTGTACACAATACCATAGAAATGGCGATCAGCAGACCAAAGAAAGCGAGACACAGCTAACAAAATAACATAGGTGGAGAATGAAACGTTTACGAATGTCTAATCAACCGGAGTTGATGAAAGAAAGAGATAAATGATCGTATTTTCGGATATTGTATGAGAAATATAGGCAAGAGTCCTGG